GGCCACTTTGTGGATCTGGGGACAGCCCCCACTCAGCCACCAGCACCAAACCCCCCGAGGCCCCCACAGCCTTCACCCAAAACACATAGGGCTGGTTTGAACCACAAAAAGTTGGTGCCACTGGAAAAGCCCAGCAGAGTCTCTGCCCTCAAAGAGCAAGGATGGACAGGAGCATCCCTGCCTGGGGTCAGGATGGATTTAAGAGGTGGGACAGGGATCCAGGCCACCACCAGCATGTGGCTTCTCCTGATTCATAGACTCATAGAATGGTTTGGGTGGGAAGGGACCTTCAAGATCATCCAGTGCCATCCCCTGCCCTGGGCAGGGACACCTCCCACCACACCAGGTTGCTCCAAGCCCCCTCCAACCTGCCCTTCAACCCCTCCAGGGATGGGGCAGCCACAGCTTCTCAGGACAACCTGGGCCAGGCTCTCACCACCCTCCCACCAAACAAGTTCTTCCCCACAGCTCAGCTCCATCTCCCCTCTTGCAGTGTCCAACCCTTCCCCCTCCTCCTAGGGCTCCCCTCCCTCAGCCAGAGTCCCTCCCCAGCTTTCTTGGAGCCCCCCTTTTTGAGGGACTGGCAGGGGCTCCAAGGTCTCCCCAAGGTCTCCAGGCTGACCCCCCCAACTCTCTCAGCCCCCCCTCCCAGCAGAGGGGCTCCAGCCCTCCCAGCATCTCTGGGGCCTCCTCTGGCCCCATCCAACAGCTCCATGTCCTTCTGCTGTTGGTGGCCCCAGAGCTGGAGGCAGCACTTGGGGGGGGGGGGCTCCCCAGAGCGGAGCAGAGGGGCAGAATCCCCCCCCTGGCCCTGCTGGGGATGCAGCCCAGGGGGCAGGGGGCCTTGCTGCCAGCCCACGTTGCTGGCCCCATGGCCAGCTTTTCTCCCCCCCCCAAGGACCCTCACCATTCTCCACCCAGCCTGTATTTGTGCCTGGGATTGCCGTGTCCCGGGTGCAGGACCATCCATGGTGCGGAGAAGGGTTAATCCCCACCGGCCGCCGGCGCTGCCCCTCAGCCCCTACCTGTCATGGCCACAACGGGGATCCCAACACACTCCAGCATTGCCCAGAGGGGCTCCAAGCACGTCTCCAACACGCTCCCCCTCGCCCCTCCAGCAGGCAAGCAGGGATGGCGAATCTCTTGGGGACTTGGGATGGTGTCTCTTGGGGACCTCTCAGGACCACGTCCTCGCCCAGGGCTCAGAGAGGCTGTTTGGAGCTCAGCATGGAGGGCAGGGTGGGCGTACGGGGCACCAAGAGGGATGGCTGTGTCCCCAGCCCTGGGATCCCTCTCTGGGATGGCTCAGAGGGAGGTGGCTGGTGGCCACCGAGGGAAGGCAGTGACCAGGAGGGCAGCTGGAGCTGTGACAGTCATGCCAGGAGGGTGACGAGGAGCTGCTTGCCCCGGGCACCTCCTTTCTCAGACATGTCCATCCCTGGTCTGTTTGCTTCCTCCTTCCTCACATCCCCCCTGCTCTCCCCTGGCCGTTTCCATGGCCACGGAGCTGCTGTGGCAACCGATTCCTGCATCCCTTCCCCGGCCACGATCCCATCCTGGGGCAGGAGCCATGTCCCCAAGCCCAGGGACCACCATCCCATGGCTGCTGCCCTCACCACATCGCCTGCACAACGCCTGGGGACAGGCTCTGATGGTCCACACGTGTGATGAGCCACCTCTCACAGCTCTCTGCGTGTCTTTGTAGAGTCACAAGATGGTTTGGGTGGGAAGGGACCTTAAAGATCATCCACTTCCACCCCCTGCCCTGGGCAGGGACACCTCCCACCACACCAGGTTGCTCCAAGCCCCCTCCAACCTGCCCTTCAACCCCTCCAGGGATGGGGCAGCCACAGCTTCTCGGGCCAACCTGGGCCAGGCTCTCACCACCCTCCCACCAAACAAGTTCTTCCCCACAGCTCAGCTCCATCTCCCCTCTTGCAGTGTCCAACCCTTCCCCCTCCTCCTAGGGCTCCCCTCCCTCAGCCAGAGTCCCTCCCCAGCTTTCCTGGAGCCCCTCTTCTTGAGGGACTGGAAGGGGCTCCAAGGTCTCCCCAGAGAAGGTGGGAAGAGCAGGGCAGAACACAGAAAGGGCACGGATGCAGGAGGTGATGAGGCTTTAACAAGCCCAAAATGCTCCTTCTGCAAAGCAGGAATTAAAAAGGACAGTCCCATCAGAGAATCCAGGATAACCCAAGCCTGGATGGCTGGTCCAAGTCGCTTGTCCAGAGAAGCAGCCATGCCCTGCTCCCTGCCTGGTGTCCACCACCGTGTCACCCTTTATACACTCAGATATTAAATCTACCCCCGTATGAGTGAATTACTGGATTTACTGACATTATGACCTGGATAATTGCTCTACTGATCTGTATTTCACAGAATCACATGGGGTTGGAAGGGACCTCTGGAGATCATCTCCTCCAACCCCCTGCCAGAGCAGGTCCACCCTGAGCAGGTCCCACAGGAACGTGTCCACGTGAGTTTTGAACGTCTCCAGAGAAGGAGACTCCACCACCTCTCTGGGCAGCCTATGAGAACACTTATCACATTTATACAACATTTATCACTGTGCTGTTATTTAGAGAGAAATTCTTTATCCCTAAAGCTGCTGGTCTGGTGTCTGGTACCACGTCCCCAACCCATATATATCCCCCAACCTGCTGGAAGCCCTCACGCTGGCCAAACTCGGCCAAGAAGTTGCCATGGTGCTAAACCACCCCCCTCTGTCCTCCTGTCCATGCACTGGGAGGGATGGGGGGCTCCGTTCCTCCCAACCCAGAGGGAACCCCACAGAGAGCTTTACGTCTGGCAGCAAAACAAGGAGAGAAAAAAAACAAAAAACCCTTTTTCTTTCTCTTCTTTTCTAAACTAGACACGCTTGGCCCGGGATGAAATGCCCAAAGAAAAACCCCAATCTCAGTTATTTCATGGCGCTGGGATCAGGGCCAGGGAACACTTGGCTCCTGGGCTGGGAATTCGAAGCCCATTCTTAATGCTGCTACTGAGCACAGGAAGGGGGGACAATGCCCTGGCCCAAGGCAAGGAGCTGCCCGGAGATGCCCCCACCATCTCAAGAAGGAAGGGCTGATTTCCCCCAAACCAGCTGCCCAGAGGGATTTGAGAGAAAGGAGTCGAGCAGAAAGGTTTGCACGGGGAGGGGTGGGACCAGGGAAGGAAGGGTTAAAGGAATCTGCTTCCATTGGCATGGGGATGGAGACGTGTGCCTGGTTTCATCCAGCAGCCAGACAGCAGGAAGATGAAGTACAGACTGAAGATAAGAAAGAAGAACAAAGCTGAGGATAAGGTGACGTTGAGGATGACGAACAGAGCCAGAGCCACGAAATGCCCGGAGGAGGATGATGGCAGGAGGCCGGCGGCAGAGATTTATGAGAGCAGATAATGAGGCAGAAGATCCCAAAGAGCCCATAATGGACCCCTCAGAAAGCAGCTTCTCGCTGCCAGCCAGGAGGGAGCCAGGAGACAGAGGGGACAAGTCGGTACGACAAGGGGTGATGGTTTTCGACCAAAAGAGGGGACATTTAGGCTAGGTAGAAGGAAGAAATTATGGGGCCAGGGAACACTTGGCTCCTGGGCTGGGAATTCGAAGCCCATTCTTAATGCTGCTACTGAGCACAGGAAGGGGGGACAATGCCCTGGCCCAAGGCAAGGAGCTGCCCGGAGATGCCCCCACCATCTCAAGAAGGAAGGGCTGATTTCCCCCAAACCAGCTGCCCAGAGGGATTTGAGAGAAAGGAGTCGAGCAGAAAGGTTTGCACGGGGAGGGGTGGGACCAGGGAAGGAAGGGTTAAAGGAATCTGCTTCCATTGGCATGGGGATGGAGACGTGTGCCTGGTTTCATCCAGCAGCCAGACAGCAGGAAGATGAAGTACAGACTGAAGATAAGAAAGAAGAACAAAGCTGAGGATAAGGTGACGTTGAGGATGACGAACAGAGCCAGAGCCATGAAACACCCGGAGGAGGATGATGGCAGGAGGCCGGCGGCAGAGATTTATGAGAGCAGATAATGAGGCAGAAGATCCCAAAGAGCCCATAACGGACCCCTCAGAGAGCAGCTTCTCGCTGCCAGCCAGGAGGGAGCCAGGAGACAGAGGGGACAAGTCGGTACGACAAGGGGTGATGGTTTTCGACCAAAAGAGGGGACATTTAGGCTAGGTAGAAGGAAGAAATTATTCACAGTGAGGGTGGTGAGAGCCTGGCCCAGGTTGGCCCGAGAAGCTGTGGCTGCCCCATCCCTGGAGGGGTTGAAGGGCAGGTTGGAGGGGGCTTGGAGCAACCTGGTGTGGTGGGAGGTGTCCCTGCCCAGGGCAGGGGGTGGCACTGGATGGGCTTTAAGCTCCCTTCCCACCCAAACCAGTCTGTGAAGATGCCCTTGCCGTCTGCCACAGGCAGCACAGTAAGGACAGTAGCTTTAAGCACAGGTGGTATGGGCAGTACGGGGCAGTACAGGCAGTACAGGGTAGTACAGGCAGTGCAGGCAGTACAGGGTAGTACAGGTGGTACAGGCAGAGCAGTACAGGGCAGTACAGGCAGTGCAGGAAGTAGAGGGCAGTCCAGACAGTACAGGCAGTACAGGGCAATACAGGCAGGGCAGGCAGTACAGGGTGTGCAGGCAGTACAGGCAGCGCAGGCACTACCAGGTAGTACAGACAGTACAGGCAGAGCAGTATAGGGCAGTATAGGGCAGTACAGGCAGTATAGGCAGTACAGGCTGTACAGGGCAATACAGGCAGGGCAGGCAGTACAGGGTGGGCAGGCAGTACAGGGTAGTACAGGCAGTATAGGGCAGTACAGGCAGCACAGTGCAGTACAGGGCAGTACAGGCAGTATAGGGTATTACAGGCAGTACAGGCAGAGCAGTATGGGCAGTACAGGCAGTACAGGGTGTGCAGGCAGTACAGGCAGTATAGGGCAGTACAGGGTGTGCAAGCACTACGGGGTAGTACAGGCAGTACAGGCAGAGCAGTATAGAGCAGTATAGGCGAATCCGCCCAAGCGGAAGGAGACGCGCAAATCGCTGCGAATTAAAGTCATCTCCATGGGCAACGCGGAGGTGGCAGTACAGGCAGTACAGGGTAGTACAGGCGGTACAGGCAGAGCAGTACAGGCTATTACAGGCAGTACGGGTGGTACAGGCAGTACAGGGCAGTACAGGGTATTACAGGCAGTACAGGCAGAGCAAGCAGTGCCCGCCAG